TTTCTTCCGAGTCTACCGATCTCGAGGGATCGAGAAAAGTTGACTTTTCATCTTTTATTGCCGAAGCCATCATTAGCAAACCAGGTGATCCGTTGTCTCAGCGGAATATCACCGTCCTAAGAGACACAGGAGCGTCACATTCACTTCTTTTGAAAAGTTCAATGGACATTACACCTGAGACGAACACCGGAAGGATTTCCATTATCCAGGGAGTGGGGACAAAATCTACTGTCGTCCCTCTACACAAGTTTGCCCTGAAACATCATCTCGTCGAAGGTGAGGTCATTTTAGGTGTGATAGATAGTATTCCTGTCCCAGGAGTACACCTACTTCTAGGGAATGACCTTGCGGGAAGCAAAGTATACCCCTGTACGGTTTCAGACCCTTTGTCAACAGTTCCAGATAATGATAATGAACTGTATCCTGCATGTGCGGTGACAAGAAGCCAGACCAAACAATTGGCTGAGACAACGTCTGAACCACACCTACCATCATCGTCAAGAAAGTCGACTCCCAAATTGGAGTCTATGCTTCCAGAAAACACAAGCCTGGGCTTACCCCTGAGAATATCTCAGGAAGACATCATTAAAGCTCAACAAGTCGACGCGGAACTCAAGGCAATGGTCGAAAAATCTCTATCATCTGACGATGGGGAATATTTCTCCGAGAACGGCCTCTTCTTTCGTCGCTCTATACCAATGAATGCCTCACCAGCCGAACCATGGTTGGGTAAAAACCAGCTGTGGGTCCCTCCACCTTATCGGCATGAAATACTGAAACTGGCACATGACCATCCAATGTCAGCGCACCCAGGAGTAACTAAAACGACGGCGAAGATCAAAGAACTGTTCTTTTGGCCCAAAATGAGAAATGATGTGTCGCGTTACTGCAGAAGTTGCACGAACTGTCAGTTGGCCGGAAAGCCAAACCAGAAAATTCCTAAGGCCCCTTTGAGTCCGATTCCTGTATTAGAAGAACCCTTTTCTAAAATCGTCATGGACTGTGTAGGTCCCTTGCCTAAAACCAAGGCGGGCAACGAGTACCTACTTACCTTTATGTGTTCAAGTACCCGTTTTCCCGAGGCGATTCCCTTACGGAACATTAAGGCAAAGACTGTAGTCAGAGCCATGACCCGGTTCTTCACTACCTTTGGATTACCTAGAATCGTGCAAACAGATCAAGGCAGCAACTTCACCAGTCACCATTTTCAGGAAGCACTAGCCAAGCTAGGCGTTACCCACATCACCAGCTCAGCCTACCACCCTCAGTCTCAAGGCGTACTTGAGAGGTTCCACCAAACCCTCAAAACCATGCTAAGAACGTTCGCTAACAGTAACACCCAATGGGATGAGACTGTTCCTTGGATTATTTTCGCCGCGAGGGACTGTGTCCAGGACTCTTTAGGCTACTCTCCTTTCCAACTTGTGTTTGGACATTCTGTCCGTGGTCCCCTGAAGCTGATACACGAACGGTGGACAGGTACCAGCGATCATCCTGTGGAAAACTTTGACGATTTTCACGTTCGACTGAAAGCCGTGTGCGAAATGGCTCACAAGAACTTAAGAAAGGCCCAAGTGAGAATGAAAGGACTGTATGATAAGGGTTCTCGTAAACGAACATTCAATCCAGGCGAGAAAGTTCTTGTGCTAGTGCCTAATCTGAACAATGCGTTATCCTTGAGATATTGTGGACCCTTTACTGTGCATTCAAAATTAAGTGATTTGAACTATGTTGTCAATACGCCCGACAGAAGAAAGAAACAGACAGTGTATCATGTTAACTCACTGAAAAAGTATTATGATAATTGTAACAATTTTCATTCCACAGCTAAAATTACTTTACCTGTATGTTCAAATGTTTCTGATGATGTGATACATGATAAATTGAAACCCCCAAAATTGGTAAATTCTGCCTTTTTAGATAATTTGAATGTCCACCTTATGCATTTGTCCACAGAGGAAAGCCATAGATTGTCTCAGTTATTCGAGACATTTCCCTCTATTTTTGGGGATGTCCCCAAAGAAGCGAAGGTACCACCTCATGATGTAGACGTAGGTGACGCAAAACCCATTAAACAACACCCCTATAGAGTTAACCCCGAAAAAGCTGTTTTGATAAAAGATGAAATTGATTATATGCTCAAGAATGATATCATTGAGCCCAGTTTCAGCAACTGGAGTTCCCCATGTCTCCTAGTCCCGAAAGACGGTGGATCTTTCAGGTTTGTGACCGACTTTAGGAAGGTAAATGCGCTCACCAAAGCTGATTCCTATCCATTACCTCGGATAGAAGACGTTATTGATAAAGTTGGGCAGGCTAAGATAATTTCCAAAATTGATTTACTTTCAGGATACTGGCAAATCCCCTTATCTGACCGTGCAAAAGAAATATCTGCTTTTGTAACCCCTAATGGTTTTTATAGATACAAACGTATGCCTTTTGGTATGCGCAATGCTGGTCAAACTTTCCAGCGGGTCATTAACTCTGTCATTGCTGACATAGACCAATGTGAGGCCTACATAGATGATATAGTTGTATTTTCTAATACTTTTGAAGAACATATTGTTCAGTTGACTAACCTTTTTAGAAAATTGTCTGAAGTGAATTTTACTGTAAACTTGCATAAAAGTGATTTCTGTAAAGCTTCAATTACCTATTTGGGTTATCAAGTGGGAACGAACCAAGTTCGGCCCATTGAAGCTAAAGTAGATGCTATTGTAAGGTTACCTCCTCCCAAAAATTGTAAAGAAATCAAAAAGTTCCTTGGGATGGCTGGTTACTATAGGCGGTTCTGTCAAAACTTTTCAGCTATTGCTGAACCTCTTACTGCATTATTGACAAAGGGTGTTGAGTTTGAATGGTCAAATAAATGTCAAGAAGCTTTTTTAACCATTAAGTCATTTTTATCTAATGCTCCTGTTATGGCTGCACCAGATTTCAGCAGGCCCTTTAATCTTGCCATTGATGCTAGTAACTTAGCCATTGGCTCAGTCCTATTTCAAGAAGACAACATGGGAATTGACCATCCCATTGCTTTTTTTTCCAGGAAGTTAAATGAGAACCAAAAGAATTACTCTACTATTGAAAAAGAGGCTTTAGCTTTGGTTTTGTCATTACAACATTTTGAAGTTTATGTCTCTTCTTCAACCAATCCAGTCAGAGTGTTTTCTGACCATGATCCCCTGAAATTTACCTCTAAGTTAGGACAGACAAATCAAAGAATATTGAGATGGTGTTTATATTTCCAAAATTTTAATCTGTTGTGGCTGATTGTTTGTCAAGGATGTAAAATCTTATTGTACACATTGATCATGTGACATGTTTTGTGGTTCATTAAGACCATACACAAGTGTTGGGTTTTCACATGAAAATGAGTGGTATGAGTTTTGAATTTTTCAAAATTCCAATCCTGTTGAATATTTTGTTTATTTTCAGGTGAACCTTAATTAAAGGTGGTTTTTGATTATATGTAATCTCTTATAATAATATGTCTCATATGACTCAGTTGATATTGTAGCTAGTCATTGAAATAAAGGTCTTACCCTGGCGGGTGTACCACTTTTAATATCCTCATGGAAATATTGTAATACCCTTTTCTGAGGGATTTTGATGTATAATTATTTTTTGGAAGGGTTACTCCCCTTTCACCAATTGTAAAAGTTTGAGTTACTTCCCTTTTATGTTCAGGGATATTTTCATCTGGTATTAAGATTTTGATTGCCTACATTTGTAAAACATTTTTTTTATTTTCATTGCCAGATTGGTTCCTTATGTATGTTTTTGTGGAACCTATCTGTCACTTCCAAAAAGGGAGGGGATGTGACCTACTTAGGTCGAGTCAAGTTCCATTTTTTATTTTGACATTGTATAATACCTTATATGGAGTGATTGTGCAACTCCTGGGGTTTTTCCACTGTCTTATTAAGGGTGTCTAAGACGTAGAAATTTTCCATTAAGATCTGATTGAATGATTCTGATCAGATGACCATCCCAACCAATGGCTACATGAGTTGAGGATAACCTCCCCTGTTGCAGAAGTCTTTAACTGCACCACACACTCGCCACACGTGGCAGTTTACCTTGATCAGGCAGTCTACCAGGATCAAGCGGTCTATTAAGACCAAGCCGTCCATTTTGTCCGGCAATAGATTCTGACCATTTGAACGTGAGAGATCTTAAGTCCTGAGTGTGCCATGCTTTCTTAAGTTGTTTTAGTCTTCTAGTTTAATATTACTTGTCGCCAAGTGATTCTTGAAGCTATAGCAGTGTTGTGTGGCCTGTGGCTATTTTTATACAGTGTCGAAATCTGTGATAGTGTTTTTTCTTACGCTTTGTAAGTTGGGTTTTGATATTTTATAAATTAAATATTTTATCTAGTTTAACCTTGTGTTCTGCCACAACTGTGTTCGCTTATTAAAGGTTGTATGCAGATTGGATGAGTGTTAATTTCAATAGTATCACTAGTTTTCCCTAGACATCGATCGAGCCCTAGTGTGTTGTTGAATTAGTGTTCATCCATTTAGGCTTTAAGTCATTTGCATATTACCCCGAAAAACGAATCCGGGGACGTTCACCGTCTATCTGGCTGATAGATAGGTAAACGTTACAGTGGGGGCTGCAAATCGAAGGTTCGAGTGGGGGGGGGGGGGGGTTGCGCCGGGAAGGGTCGCTACGCCTCTGACCAAAGGTCTGTTAGGGGTTGAATCACGTCCACTCTTCTTCAGCCTCCTCAAGACAAAGACCAGTACACAGCACTTCCCTGCACACAGCTAGGTGCGACATAATACAAGTGACCGTTTACCATTTAATTAACATGTCGAGGCAATTAAAAAAAAGAAAGTTTAATAATGTCTAACAAAATGTGTACATTGATAAATGTTAACAAGCTAATCATGTTGGGAATGAACTCACAGAAAGCAAACAATTACAAAAAGTAACTACAAATATAAAAGACAAGCATCCTTAAATTTCTTAAAATTGGTCGTAAAAAATAGCAGAAAAAAATAAAATGTTTCTACATTTGTTCATCTTAATACTTTTGTTTTATTTTCAAGTATATTTGTAGACAGTTCTGTAGCCGGCCATGTGTTTCTTGTATTCTCGATCGAATTCTTCGTTTAAATCTTCAGTGAACCAGTTTTTCCAGTCGCCAACAGCACCTAGTCATGATACAAAATATTGAGGAATGAGTTCACAAAAAGGTTATTTTATTATTTAGAAAATGATATAACTATATTCGGTAGCTTGATAAACTTCTTTAGATACCAAAGCTAAGGTAAAGTAAAATGGTGCGCGGACCTTTGACCACAGGTGCTTTGACCATAGGGGTCAAACCCCCTATGGTCAAAGCACATCTGTGGTCAAAGCCCCGCTGTGGTCAAAGCTCCGCTGTGGTCAAACCCCCTATGATCAAACCCCCTATGGTCAAACCCCCTATGGTCGAACCCCCTATGTTCAAACCCCGTATGGTCAAACCCCGTATGGTCAAACCCCGTATGGTCAAACCCCGTATGGTCAAAGCACCTGTGGTCAAAGCACCTGTGGTCAAAGCACCTAAGACCAGTAAAAATTTCCCTTTCAAAACTGACGGTCTATGAAGCAAGTGAAGTAGAGTTCACTTGTTTCTGTGACCTCGGCATATGAAGAGACCATGTGGTCAGCAATATGCCCAGCCGCCTTTATTTTACCTAACTTGAGTTAGGTACCCATCAGAGTTGGGTGGACTCTGGGACGGTCTACTGACTTGTACCCGCATTCGAACTCGAGACTTACGGGTCAGCAGTCCAGCTCTCTACCGCTAGACTACTCAGACCCCCAAATACCAAAGCTAACCTCTCGAATATTCTTCATGTTATCTTACATAATTAGTCTATCAGGTGAGTTGAACTTTGCTCAAATACATTATTCCAGCTCTTGCAAAGAAAAACGATTTATTTTAACTAAATTAAATTCAGACTTGTTAAACAGTTTCATATTACTTTTAAAAAAGCATTCAAATACCATCAATGTAAAACTTACCTTTCCTGTAGTAACCAATTTCTCTATTTCGAAACCAAACACTTTCATTTATTGTTGCATTGGCTTCTTTAAATGGTTTCATACTGTCGAAGCTACAAGCCTCTGCTATCTTCTCACACAGCTCCTCGCTACATCCAGTCCCCAGAAACTCATTCAGTTTTTTCACACCAGCTTTTTCATCCTGTTTTAGAAATGTAGCTTTTTGTTTCAATCTATATATTTTACTTAAAATGGCGTATACGTTTCAGTAGCAGTTATGTTTCAAAGATCTAAATAATTGCATCTAGCGTATGAAACGTATATTGCCCGCGTTTTAAAAAGGCAGCAAAATGTGGTTATTAATCACATTATATATATACAACGAAGTTACATGACAAGAATAAACTTACTAATATCATATCCTCGTACACTGATGTGTAGAATGGAACATCCGGGTTAGCGTCAATACCTTCTTGTCTATCCATCAGATATGTGAACATGTTGCCGTAAAAATCTGAAATACATATTAACATGGTTAAGTCTGTGATAGACGTCAGATCTGTAGAGCCAAAAAAGTAGCTAAGTTGACCAGAGTGAAAATAGAAAGGCAGGTCCAAAATTTTCTCAACTTTGCTTGCTAAATAGGTAGCGACAGTTGGCAAACGTTTACTTGAGCTTAGCTCAAATACGGGGGAAATAAAAAAAACATGTTTTCCTCCAAAAATCAAAACAGCGTCTTCTCTCTTAGTGTGTGTGTGTGTGTGTGTGTGCGTGTGACTTGCAAATTCATAAATAAAAGTTAATTAGCATTAAAATAATAACATTTGAGGAGCGTGTAGTCTAAGCCGACCACCTCCCATATAAATTGGACCCTAACTATTTGAAAAATACAGTTAGCTATAAGACGTCTACGAGAAAATTTATACCAATTAACAGAGAAAGTTTTTAAGAACCAGCAGCTTATTTCTTTTTATTAAAGCATGAAAAAAAGTAAAATGTAAGCTTATTTATTTAGCAGTGATTTCTCTGACTAGGGTCTACTTATCTGCTGGTAATGGTTTGCGCTAAGGAAGTAAGACATATATACAGAATATTCTGTTTGTTATGTAAACAACTCACAACCAACTTCCAGATTGAGATAAACAAAGTGCTCAAATGTTCCGGGATAGCGTAAGGGATGCACGTGTTTTTTCAGATGGCTGTAGAACGAGACGAGAACATCTTTGGGGTTTCTGTCCAAGTAAATTATTTTAATTTTCTTTTTCAAAGCTTTCTTCGGCAAATATCTGAAACAACAGAAAAGTTTCTTTTATACCGAATAAATGTTTGTGGGTTTAAGTTGTTTAAAGCCAGCATATTATGAAAGAATATAGATACAAGTTTTATATAGATTGGCTTTTACTAAAAAATATGTCGTATTGTATTGGACGACCTACAGGCTTAAAAATGGATCCCGCAAATGCTACTAAAAGGTTAGTCTTACTGGGATCTAGAAATCTATTGTTCTAAAATGAAAAAAATTGTAAAAGTATTCTTAAAAAAACTAAAACAATCTCACTAGTCATAAAATGTAATAATTTGAAATAAGCAAAACGTCTTAGACAAAGTTTGACTAACCTAAACGGCACATGAGTAACAATTATCCTGGGCGATTCTCTGCTAGTGAAGACGTGTATTGGTTGTTTGTCTAAGAAACAAATGGTGTCTTCAATTTTCGTGCTCAGTTTGTCTGCTTTGTTCTTTAGCATGGTCACAATCTCTTGGTGCCAATGGAGACCTTTTTGAAGACATGATCTCTATATATAATTCTCTTCTTGGAGACCCTAGAAAACAAGCTGTAAGCGCACCTTGCAGTCCCCTCTCTTTTTTCACTAGGCATAAATCAACCTTCCCAACCCCCACATGGTCTGGTGAGCTGTGGTTCACGCTAAATGTTTACAATCGTAGAGCCGGGTTTAGTGACAGCTATTAGGGGCAGATAATTTAGTTTGAAACTATTTTAAACTTAGGGGAGGTAACTAATAGCAGGTTGCTTTCACGGGAGGCGGGGTGTAGGGTAGGGGTTGGGGAAAGAAGGGTGGAGGTAGTATTGTCCTTAACGACCTACTGATAGTGTTTTAAAGCAAATATTTTCAGTGGCAGCATTGGTACTGTCGAATTCACAAATTATGAATTACTGAAAAGTAGAAAATAAAACAACTAAATAGCGGCGTTTGATACGCCGCGGGTCGGCTCGTGGTTAATAAAAGTAAAACCTCTAAATATGGAATAAGAAAATAAAATTTTAAAATATTAGACTCTACCAACCTGACTTGGGATACGAGCATATCATGACGTCATCAGGGCGTATCTCCATGTCTCTGATATTCCGTGCGTGTGTCATGTAGTCAGTGTCGGCACCGATACGAAACGGTGGTTGCCAGTAGCCGCCGGCATTGCCGAAATAAAACGTGTTGCCGAACCTGAAAGATTTTCATGAAATGATTAATTTATTTGTAAAACAAAAAACAAATGTGAAACAAAAAAACAATTTGTGGTGGTCACTCTCTGAAATTAACTCTTCTATTAATATCACAACGGTTTATTTCTTAATTTTGCTCTCATTTCTCCGGTTCTCTAATTCTCCTAACCACTGAGGCTCTGTACACTCAAGAATGTCTTTACGTCATGCAGATGTCTACGCAGAATCCAAAGGTCTCATAAAGAGATCACATAACTAATGAAAAAAAAGGATCACTAATGCGATTGGTCCCTTTGAGCATGGCCAAAACAAGAATATGTAACTGGTATGGGCCTGTGACAAGATCAATGGCCTATCCACTATCCAAACTATACTGCAAGCTACTGTACCATGAGGGAAAAGGCAGAGACTGCAATGGGTGAATGACATCAAATATTGGACGGGGCTGGATGAATAACATCAAGGACGTGGCTGGATGAATGACATCAAGGATTGGCCGTGGCTGGATGACATCTAGGATAGGACGGGGCTGGATGAATGACATGAAGGATTGGACGGGGCTGGCTGGATGACATCAAGGATTGGACGTGGCTGGATGAATGACATCAAGGATTGGACGTGGCTGGATGACGTGAAGGATTGGACGTGGCTGGATGACATGAAGGATTGGACGTGGCTGGATGAATGACATCAAGGATTGGACGTGGCTGGATGAATGACATGAAGGATTGGACGTGGCTGGATGAATGACATGAAGGATTGGACGTGGCTGGATGACATGAAGGATTGGACGTGGCTGGATAAATGACATGAAGGATTGGACGTGGCTGGATGAATGACATGAAGGATTGGACGTGGCTGGATGAATGACATGAAGGATTGGACGTGGCTGGATGAATGACATGAAGGATTGGACGTGGCTGGATGAATGACATGAAGGATTGGACGTGGCTGGATGAATGACATGAAGGATTGGACGTGGCTGCCCGTCTGAGAACTAATAATGGCAAAAGATCGTGGCGGATTGTGGAGAATTATAATGTCAACAGGGATGCCCCAACAATAACAATAAGGGTTAAGTGATGATGGTGATGATGATTAATGATGATGATGATGATCATGATGATGATGATGGTGATGACGATGATGATGATGACGATAAGGATGATGACGATAAGGATGATGATGATGGTGATGATGGTGACGATGGTGATGATGGTGATGATGATGATGATGATGATGGTGATGGTGATGATGATGATGATGATGATGATGATGATGATGATGATGATGGTGATGACGATGATGATGATAAGGATGATGATGATGATGACAATGACGATGATGATGGTGATGGTGATGATGATGATGGTGATGACGGTGATGATGATAAGGATGATGATGATGATGATGGTGATAATGATGTTGACGACGATGACAATGATGATGATGAAGGTCACCTGGTGATGATGATGATGATGATTTTAACAATCCTTTTGTACCTTCTTTCATACCGAATTATTTTATAAAGTATACTAAAATAGACTGACGAATGAGTACTTTACCAATATCTAACTAATTTTACTGTAAACGTTTACAAAAATCCGGAAAGAGATTATTTTTATGTATAAAAAGTTCAGTGAGCTAAAAGTTCAGTTTAACATACGAAGCACAGTTCTTACCTATCTGTCAGAGATGAAAGTTTAGGTAAATCATTCAGTATTTCATCGGGTAATGTATCAATAGTCTCTTTAACTTCAGACATCCTGATAACTTCGTTTTGCCTGTGAAAGATAAACAGTTCACACGTTTAACGAACGCCAGCGACTTATCTTTAATTGCATTGTCAATAACAGGCGCAAAAACATTCTGCTTTAATTAAAAAAAAAATCTTTGCCGTAATTTAATTTTATCAGAACAATCTCTTATTGCGAAGTTGTTTTTTTTTAGACATGTATAGTAAACACGTTATTAGCCTACATTAAAAGAAAAAGTTCTGTTTATTTTTAACTAAATTTTTAAATCTCTAATTATCCTGGATATTAATAAACATTTCCGAACTTTTTTCCAGAAACATTAATAAACTATTGAATTTAGCAGGATCAGATAAATAATATTTAGCTCCCAAACTACTCTTTCCTAAACCGAATTCAGCGATGTATCTTCTCAAAGCGACGTCCGCCCGAAAAAGTTGAAGTGTTGAATCTTTAATTTATCTGGAAATGTTAGACCATATGTCTCCTAATCTAAGCTAATACACCTCGGTATGATTACAGTAATATACTGTATATATATATAAAGTTCGGTAATAAAATGCATACAAATCGTTTCAAAAACAAGTTTGTGTGTAATAATGTACAAAAAAGAGAAAATAAATTATTCGTTTATGAATGTTTAATATATAATAGTAGTTTAAATATTTACACGATTAAAATAAATATTTCAATAAATTTTAAACAATTTTATATCTCATGTTATGATTTATACTTTACCCAATAAATACAACTCTAGTATGTAAGAGTGAATAATAGTATTTCATCTTATCGTCATCGATTACCTCCCTTACAACGCGTTTACACTTGCAACATGTAAACTATAGGCCGACATGACAAGTGAAAAAAACAACTTCGCATTAGGTGAGTACATCTACATCTACATCTACATCTACATCTACATCTACATCTACATCTACATCTACATCTACATCTACATCTACATCTACATCTACATCTACATCTACATCTACATCTACATCTACATCTACATCTACATCTACATCTACATCTACATCTACATCTACATCTACATCTACATCTACATCTACATCTACAACTACATCTACATCTACATCTACATCTATATCTATATCCAGAATATATCTAATATTTCATTAAGTATAAATGTCTGCATTACACACATTTGAGAATCGCAATCTGTCTTTACAATATGTTACTGTCTGGTTCTTCAATGTCTAGGGGTATATTATAGCAACAGACAACATTCACAATAGTAAATTCACTAGATAAGCAAAAATAATAACTCGAATATATATACAAGAATAAACTATATGAAAATACTAAAAGATACTATATGCTCTAACGCAGATGCCGATACTTAACACGACTCCAGCCAAAGACACGTCTACAGCCCCACACTACAACTAACTGCTTCATACACTGACACACGCTCTGACATTAGTCAACTGACACACCTCCCGTGAACACTTCTCACTCCATGTAAACATTCAACCAAGGGCTACAACTATACACAAAAAGGAGGGTACCTGTCGCTCGAGCTCACAACACACAAACACAATCAGGGGACATTTAAGGGACGTAACAGTTACATGGTAACAAATTGTAGAACACCAATCTGAGTAACATAAATAAACAACTTCACGCTTAATTACAATGTAACACATTTGTCTCTTTATCCATTACGTGATTTATTATTGTAAAGACTGTTCTCAATCTTAGTGATCGCTCCATCTTCATTTCAGTGTTAAAAAATCCATCACAGTATGTGGCAAATTAAATATACTCTTTATCCATTACAAATATCTGCCGTTACAACGTGCAAAAGGGAAGCTACCCCGATCCCAGTTGACAACCTGTACTTCTATGTTGCATACACTATTCTTTACTAAGCTATTGTAATTGAGTAACTCATGTTTGTTCTATCTGCTACTGTTAAAAGTATATTTTTTAGTAGGGGCTTAAATCTAAAAATCGAGGAAAGCGGTATCGCTGATGTTTTGTCGCTATATCCCTTGGTATTTATATCAATGAAAATAAGAAAACATTCAGACTTAATTTAAATTTTTTTGCCCTCCCCATATATATATATATATATATATATATATATATATATATATATATATATATATATATATATATATATATATATATATATATATATATATATATATTTATATTTATACAAGTAAAAAATATAAACATAGGATATTCATTTCTGGCCTGATCGGGTTTTGAAAAAAAAATGTCTTTGTTTTTTTTAAAATTAAGACAAATTACAGCTTCTTATGTGTGTGAGTGCATTAGTAAGTTTTGAAAATCTTTTTAATTTATGTCTGTCGTAGTATTTTTTAACTACGAGTCGGTCAAAAGAATATGAAATATCAAAGCTTTGTATGTGTAAAGGTTTATCGTGTTATGTTTATTTTTATGTCTTTTTATATTTATATTATTAATTTTAAATACTTTTCCATTTTACACTATGTCATTCTTTAGTATGTATTTGAAAAAAATGATTAAGAGAAGTAATTGCTTTTTAATTGTTTAGTACAAATCTATTAAAAGGAGCTTATGAGCACCCCTATTAGACTATTTTAAAAGGGAAATAAGTCATGGAATTGGTTTAAAAGTTTGCCTATCTTTCACAACGGTTTAAAACAGAATGAAAAAGAATAATTATACAAGAGCATACAAGACACTTAAAAAGTAAGACCTTTTTTTCTACCAGACTTATCTGTACATATCTTACCTATCCGCCAATAACGAAAGTTTCGGTGCGTTTTTCTTTATTTCATTGTGCAAATCATCAATAATCTCTTTAACTTTAGACATCCTGCTGACTTCCATTCAAGTGTTGAGGATAAAGAGTTTTGCACTTTTTTTCGGTTTGTTGATTTTCATCTTTATAAAGAGCATTGTGCGTCAAACATGACTTCAATTTTTATAAAGAAAATCAATAGCTTGTAAATTAGAAGACTTCTATGTCATTGTGATCAAAGAGGGTTTTGGATTCAAAAGCTCTAGTTAAAGAGGGTTTTAGTATAAATACTTTTGTACTATTAAGTACTCGCTATAAATGTCATTCATGTGTGAACGTTTATGAGGGAGCTGCAATGTTAAGCACGTCGTGTTCGGTGTTTATTACTACAATAATAAATCGCCGTCGTGGTAAGGGTTATTTTGAAATGGTAATATATTTTTAGCAAATTAAGTAGACATAAATTGTGGTGTACTTGTACAGGGTTGATACTTTCAGTCAGTAGCGGATAAGGAGTCGGGGGAGGGGGGTGCTAACAGGGCAGCAGCCGGGGGTGGGGGAGGGGCTCTGATGTTTAGAGCCTCCAAATAATCTCTTAAAAACCATAGTAAATTTCACTTTACAAATTACTTGTTAGGTTTTATTATAAAGCTCCGATGTTTATAGCCTCCAAATATTCTCTTAAAAACCATAGTAAATTTCACTTTACAAATTACTTTTTAGGTTTTATTACAAAGCTCCGATGTTTAGAGCCTCCAAATATTCTTTTAAAACCATAGTAAATTTCACTTTACAAATTCCTTTTTAGTTTTTATTATAAAGCTTTTTCTTTGTTTTTTTTTCTTCAAAATATCCAAAACGTGAATGCACTTTTGTTTAAATACCAGCTGTTATCACCTACTCAGACGGTGTTTATATTAAGCCAATGCACTCTACAATACCATAGTCTGGACCAGCCTTCCCTTATGTCAATAAAATAAGTTGATTTTAGTGTTTAAATAAAAACTTCACAAACAGCAATAGAATAATGACAAATAAAAGTGGGGCCTACCATTGACACCCTGTGGCGTAGCCAGGATCGTCTCAAAGGGGGGGGGTTCCAATTTTTACCCGGGGACAAACTTTCGATTTGCACCCCCTTCCCCTCAAACTTTCGATTTGCACCCCCCCCCCCTCAGACTTTTGATTTGCACCCCCCTCAGACTTTCGATTTGCACCCGCCTCAAACTTTATATATAAACCGAGGGGTCTATGGGGGGGGGGGGGGGGGGGGTTAATGACCCCCCCTAACCCCCCCCCCTGCCTACGCCGCTGTTGACACCTATTTAATCCTGTACAACAACATTGATTCACTACCTCTGTGTTATATTCACGCTATTTAGCATTTTGGTAAATTTTTAATTTGAAGATGTTTATCTACTTGAAAATATCCTTTAAGAAAGTTGTTTTATAACTTATAATGATGGATGAATCTGTCAATTGTAACACGACAATTTAAAATTATAAAACGTTTGTGTTTATTTATATCGGAGAATATTATCTTCTACTGCTAAAAATATTTAAAACATTTCTAGCTAATTTGAACTAAACATATCACCCGTCTCGCTACCAAATTAATTTAAGATAAACAGTACATGTTTGTAGTAGAAGAAATGTTAGGTATATTTTTCACTATTTCGTCCGGTAATGTATCGGCAGTCTCTTTCTCTTTCGACATGTTTACCACGATGCACTGTAGGAGATAAATAATCAACAAGTTGTTTTTTGGTTGTTGTTTTTTTCTGTATTTGCTGACGCCATTTTATGTATAAAACCAGTCCATAACACATGTTGCCAATATAATATTGTGAGCTCCTCTAATATAGCTGTATGGGCTTGGGGTGTCACGTCCAGTGTAATCGAGCAACAGAAGCAATCAATTTTGTAACAACTTTCGTTTTGAAATATGAAAACTCGTAGAAAATGCTAATTAACGAGAGTGTGATACAAAAATAGAAAATGTAAATGTTTTTGACCAAATCTATATATATATATATATATATATATAATTTGTATCATGGGGACCATGCGAGACACCATGCCGTTACTCTATGCATATAACTACCACCTTTACCCCCACCATTCTGGTGAGCTATGGTTCACCCCGAATGTTTACAATCGTAGAGCCGACTCGAATTAGTAACGGCTATAGGGGGGCAGATAATTTAGCTTTTAAACTAAGGGGAGGTGATAACAAGTTCTGCTTGATCTTCTCATTGTCGTCTGTAAACTGTCATCACAGACGGCTGCTTTCACAGTGGCGGGAGGGGGGGGGGGAAATCGGAGGGTAGTGTCGAATTCAATAACTATGAATTACTGAAAAGTAGAAAAGAGAACAACCAAATAGCGGCGTATTATTTGCGCGGGTCAGCTCGTTTATTATCATGTACATATTTCAAGTTATTTTGAGATGTGATATATAGTGAGTTGCATTTGTTAGCAAAACTGCGGTTCGATGATAAAACATATTTATTAATTTATTTATTTCAATTTTTTTATTCAATTACGGTAACAATAGTAGGCACAAAGCCAATCAGTAACAACGAATTTATTTGAATGTTTATTCTGCTGGAGAATATTATAACACCAGTTTCATGTCACTCCTAATCTTCTGCGACAGCCGAGCCTTATTTTACTTTTATGTGTGTGACAAACCTAATGATATGTTAATTATTTTTACCACACTTTTTGTACAAAAGATAATTGAAATATAACACAAACAAATGGGTTGTTATTTTAGTGGTAGAAAGAATTAATATATTTTATGACAAGTTAGCTAAAATATCTTATTTTTTTAGCTTTTCGATCGTGCTGAATTATACACCACATATGAATAAAATGTTAGCCTTAAAATTCCTTTCAGTAATTCGTAATCTTTACTAAAAAGACAAAATATTTGCTCCTTACTAGACTGTAAACTGGTTGTCAGGAGTGAACACATCCATGTAAAGCTGCTCACCGCATCTACAAGCTGATAAACAGATCTCTAGTACTTTTGATACAGTATATTATAGTAATTTTAAAGTTATAGTTAATGACTAATTTCATAAATAGTTAATATAGTGTAAATTAATGTAAATTAATATTAAAATAAAAAATAAAAAATTATATATAAAATTTGATATAAAATATATACTTAGAACAAAAATTAATTAGATATTCTTACATTGTTATCGGAACGGCAGTATCTCAAAAAAATAATTTTTGAACGAGCCATTTGCCCTTTTATTTTAGTGTCACACAATTGATTTAGTTTAATATGTCTGTAAAGTCAAATATCATTCTATTTGCTTGAATCTGAATGGGTATAATTGAGTAAGGCAACTCAGAATAAGCTTTGCATGTTTTTATTCTACGCCAGGGGTTTCCAAACTACGGCCCGCGGGCCGGATGCGGCCCGCGATGTCCTCTCATTCGGCCCGCGGAGAGCTTTTTGTCCACGGAAAACACGTTTGTTGGTGATGGCTGAGGAGCTTTGCCCAGACAAATCAAAGACATTTCTGGAAGAAACTGGCTCCCGAACTGAAATTTGATAGTTAATGCGGCCCTCGCACTGAAAAGTTTGGAAACCCCTGTTCTACGCCGTTGGCGCCCCCCCCCCCCCTCACACAGCGTCGGTATCCAGAGCGACCGACCCACCCCCCTACCCTAGCTACGCCTTGAAATCGAGGAACAACATAATTGATCGCTACATTACCAGTTGACTCCGATGTCAGCCTACTTATCTCTCTGGACAAGATTCCATAGCTTATGTCTAACAAAAAAAAAACAAAAAAAAAACAAAAAAAAAAAACAAAAAAAAAAAAACAACAAAAAAAAAAAAAACAAAAAAAAAACATAAACTACAAGGCAGTAGTTGTTTAATTCTGGAGTTTTCTCTCAACTATTTATTCAATGAAAATAATACATATTTTAGTTTTTAAGAAGAATACCCTTTATACGCTTCTGTTATAAAAAAATAATAATAAAAATAATCTTTATCAAAGGAAAACAAAAGTACTTCAATTTTTGAACCAAACATGGATTTGAGAAAGTATTAGAATAAACACTTTAATTTTTGTTAATTTCATAACGAGTTGACATATCGGTTTAAACGCGTCCGCTGATTGGGTTCCACATTGTTAAAAAATGTGGTTTTACTTGAAAATTCTATACAATACAAAATTTACCACACGGAAAAACTACAAGATGTAAATAAAACTATCAATGGCAGATCTAGCAATGTCAAGTCCTAGTGTTGCGATGTAAAATTTAAATTCAGCAAAGCAACAAATTAAACAGAGAAAATATCGGATTTTATTTTGTGTATTTAATTGACTATGTAGTTTTGAAAGCTGTTTTCATTTAAACTGTTGAATTATGATATTAGTTTAAAAATTCTCATGCAATGCAAGAGCAAATAAAAACAGATTTTGGAATCAATGAACATTGATGTACATAAGTGTTTGAAATTTCAAACAGAAAAAACGCGCATAAAAATTTATCATTTCAGACGCTTACTAATAAAAATATATGTCATAAATTTTGTTTGTTAAACCAAGCATAAATACTTCACATGTAGGCCTACACGAAAATGTATACATGTCAAGATTTCAGTATTTTTACGCTTATATTGTATTTTAGGCAATTTAATATATTTTGTTTGTCAATTAGCAAAAGCAGTGTTTGGTTATAAATGACTGTGCATAAATTATTATTAAGCTAATCTAAAGTATATTTGTAGACAGTCCTGTAGTCAGCCATGTGTTTCTTGTATTCTCTATCGAATTCTTCGTTTAAATCTTCAGTGAACCAGTTTTTCCAGTCGCCAACAGCACCTAGACATGATGCAAAACTACAGTAAACTAGATTGTTTACTTTCTAAACTTTTTTGAGAATCACGTTTTATTTAAATTAAATGAATTTTATTCAAATTCAGTCTTTTTTAAGTATTAATCCAATTCTAAAAAAAAAAGAATAACATTATTATCTTATGAAAAATTACCTTTTCTATAATAGCTACTTATTTTAAAGCTATTTTGTTCTTCTGCTGAATTGGCTTCTCTTATAGGTTTCATTCTGTCAAAGTTACAGGCCTCTGCTATCTTCTCACACAGCTCCTCGCTACATCCAGTCCCCAGAAACTCATTGAGTTTTTTCACGCCAGCTTTTTCATCCTGTTTTACAGATGTAAAAGATTCAACATTAGTAAATTCTGAAAAATTACTTAGATGCATATATTATTTTATGTAAAAATTACAGTTAAACTTTCTGAATATTTACTCATATTGTATTGTGTTACCTCTTTAAGCCCGTAATGATTTTCACGTTTTACCGGAATTATTTTTTGCACTAATTTTTTTCCATTACACTTGCGGCTAAACGTCCCATATCTTTTTACCCGTTAATTTAAACCCCACACATTATGGATACACATTAATCGTAATAGAATGCCCTTCACACTGATATCAATGTTAAGGAATTATTTATTTATTGAAGAAAGATAATTATTTAGTTTTAAAGAAGAAAAAGAGTAGATTTTTTCGGGCAAAAATTACGCTTCTGTCCGGAAAATTAATAATAAGAATTACTTTTCATGAGTTCTTATTCATAGAAAACAAAAGTACTTCCATTTTTCTACAAAAATCATGAATCTTAGTATAAATACTTTAATAATTGTGGTTAATTTTATAATGCGGCGACTTAAACGTTTAGACGCAGCTGCTGAACGGCATTCCGCAGTGTTAAAAAATGCCGTTTTTCTAGTTGTTTTACAAAAAAAATTCTATAAAATACGAAATCAACCTAACGAGAAAACTACAAGAAGTAAATACAACGAAAAATGGTCGCTCTAGTGTTATCCTGACCTAGATTTACGATTAAAAACTTGGATTCCGAAAAACAGCGAATTAAATCGAGAAAATTTTACCGAACGCTGGAAGAGTCGTAACCGTACGGTAGGCCGCCCTGTCGACCGCTGATAGCGTCGTTACGGTCTTAAAGAGTTACATCTGTTTTCAAAACAGCCAGCAAAATGTAAACATTAAGCTGTCTGATGTTTAAAAGAATATCGTCAGAGAATATCCGACTCACTAGTTTCACATCCTCGTAAACTGATTTGTAGATTGGAACATCTGGGTTAGCATCAATACCGTCTTGCCAGTGTATCAGATAGGTGAACAAGTCGCCGTATCTAACTGAATTAAATTAAAACAACAGAAGCTGATTGTAAAGTGAAGCGTAGAAACGGTAAGCTAGCTTTGGTAGGATGAATTAAACTAAAACTGCGTCTATATATATATAATTTTATATATATATATGTATCAATATATATATATATATATATATATATATATATATATATATATATATATATATATATATATATATATCAATATATATATATATATATATATATATATTGATACATATATATATATATATATATATATATATATATATATATATATATATATATATATATATATATATTGATACATATATATATATATATATATATATATATATATATATATATATATATATATAAGTGTCCGTTAAAATGTGTATCTCCTTCGTAAAATTTGATATTATCCTATACGAATGGACCCAATTTACGATGGTATTACAGTGGGCAGATTAAAAACTACGAGCTCATTTATAATTCGTGAAATTCATTAAAAAACCTTTTGAACAGCATCCCATCTGGTTGTTTAATTATAAGCAATATAGACCCACAATCGGCCTTTATTTTGCAATACTTAAATCATTTGCCCATAACAAACGAAATTAAAAGGTTTTAAACATTTTCTGACACCGCAAGTTTTTGGGTGTTGGTAATTTCTAAAGGAATAGTTGTAGCTTAGTATGAGAAGTAAAAGACGAATCTTTAAAGATAAAACAAAAAAGCAACAACTCATAACATTCTTCACATTAAAAATTTAACTAAATTCTAAATATAAAAGTAACAACTAACTTCAACACAGCTAACAACTAATTTCCGATAATGAGTTGTTAAATATTGCTAAAATACAACTCACAACCAACTTCCAGATTGAGATACACAAATTGCTCAAATGTTCCCGGATAATGTACGGGATATTTGTTCTTGTGAACTTGGTTGTAATAAGACACAAGAACATCTTTAGGATTTCTGTCCAAGTAAACTATTTTAATTTTCTTTTCCAAAGCTTGCTTGGGAACATTTCTGAAATATCAATAAAATGAAATAGCAATATTAACAGAATGTGATATTTCAACGCCAAGGGTAGACAAAGGTACAGAAAAAAGTCCAAGTAAAGACAAGCAGTCAGAACCCAACGGGATCCGAACCTACCATTCCACACGGCACCTATTCGCCTTCGCCTTCCATGCATCAAGTCAGACGTGTAACCGCTTCTGCCAATCAGCCCTACAAAAATAAGGCTTTCAAGGCAGACCACTATCATAGCTTCAATAAAATGAAGTATCTCAATTTGGTTCCCAAATTATTGGCTCTATTTCTATGAAAATAACATGGACAATAGACCTATACACGCAGTACAGTAACGTACACGGCACCTTGTAGATATGTAGGTACTGCTGGCTGATCTACTATACAATGTGCAGCAAACTGTGACTTATTACAGTTGAAGTTGAATACATTATTTGACCCCGTGAACGCATCCAGCTGGCAGACAGTATGTGACTCAGTTCACGTGACCGTAGACAACACATTTCAAATATCACTAGAACATTTTGTACGGCCTGTGTTTTAAGCGGAGTAAAATCTATAATTTTTAATCTGTTTTTTTCTAGCAATATTACAGGTAAAAAATTGGATCTGACATGCTTACCAGTTTAAATCATATTATTTTGCAATTATTCTAATATATTGCAACACAATTATCTAATTACCGTTGATAACTAATTTCACCAAATGAACTTCAAAAGAGACAATATCCTTTCGTTAATCACAAAATGACATACAACTCACAAGTAGCTCACAAAAACGTTGTTATTTTCGTGAAAACTTCGGAAGGCCTTTACAAGTGACCAGTCGGAATTCATTATATAATTCATTATATAATTCATTATATAAACATTATTAATTTGGTGAAAAACGATTACTTTTTCAAAACAATTTTTTAAATATTTAGGCTCTATACATATGGTTAGTAGTTTCATAAAACAAACAACGAGGTGTCTGAATAAAGTTCGACTTACTTAAATGGCATATGAGTTACAAGAAGCCTTGGTGACTCTCTGGTGGAGAGGACGTGTACTGGTAGAGAGTCTAAGAAACAGATGTTATTATCTATCTTGGTGCTCAGTGTGTCCGCTTTGTGCATGAGCATGTTTATTATCTCTTGCTGCCAATGTAGACCTTTTTAATGATAATATATGTCATGGAGAAATAAACTTCAATCTACTTAGCTGTGTTTAGAGATGTGTAAATAAAATAGAGTTTAAGAAAAATAATGGACGGCGTAGCAGACAATTGCAAACCATTTTGTCAAGAGTTTGGATCTCATGAGTCTTCTCAGCTCTAATGGGTACCTGACTTAGTGAGAGAAAAGTCGGCTTGGCATAAAACTGCGGCACTACCCCCTATTATAACTTGGTCACTAAATAAAACAAACTATGCAGTTTCAATAGAGTATTATTTGACTAAAGAAAAATAAAATATTTATGGCTAACCTGTCTTGGGATACGAGCATATCATGACGTCATCAGGGCGTATCTCCATGTCTCTGATACTACGTGCGTGTGTTCTGTAGTCAGTGTCGGCACCAATCCGAAACGGTGGAGACCAGAAGCTGCCGGCATTGCCGAAATAAAACGTGTTGCCGAACCTGAAAAGGTAGTACCGTAGATAAATGAACTTCCGTTTAAGAGCCATAACTGTTTGTTAACTATTTTTCAAACAAGAAAGAATCAGAACATAAATAAACAATTGTTACCATTCTCTAAACCCGTATTTTGCTACTAGTCGTTTGAAAAACACTACCATATCATACGTAAAACTGGGGTCTACGACAAATTCCCGAAAGGCACTTGCCCGAATGCCGTTTGCCCGAAGGCCGATTTCCCGAATGGACACTTGCCCGAGTAAAACTAATGCCCGAATGGACACTTGCCCGAATGCGACAAATGCCCGAATGAGACAAATGCCCGAATGGACACTTGCCCGAATGGACATTTGCCCGAATGCGACAAATGCCCGAATGGACACTTTCCCGAATGCGACTAATGCCCTAATGCTACTTGCCCGAAGGCCGTTTGCCCGAATAATGTTAACTTTTATATATTACAAAATAATCAATTTCAATTTTAAATGTTGATAAACAAAACATATTTACGCAAAAATAAAAAAATAAAAATAAAAATATAAACAACTTTGTTTTTATGCTTAGAATTGTGGTTATCATCAACATATCAAACTTCAATTGATTAAGAATGTCTATTTGGTAATATTATATATTATCAACTATGTATTTATTAACAACAACAACAATTTATATATATATATATATATATATATATATATATATATATATATATATATATATATATATATATATATTGTTTACTATCTCAACACCAAGGTAAGTACATATTTTTAATGAACTTATAAAGTTCAGCAAAAGAAGTGTTGAAATTACGAACCTACAATAACAGTGCTACCATTAATATAGCATTGTTATATATGGTGACAGGACAAATGATCTCAGGACAAATGATCTCAGACAAAATATCTCAGACAAAATATCTCACGGACAATTGATCTCATGGCAAATGATCTCAGGACAAATGATCTCAAGGACAAATGATCTCACGGACAAAAGATACCAGGACAAAATATATCAGGACAAATGATACCATGGACAAATGATCTCAGACTAAATATCTCAGACAAAATATCTCACAGCTGAATTTTAATAGTGTATTGGATGATTTTAGTTGATTAGAACATTTTTAATTGACTATCAATATGGTTTTGTTTACCTTTTTACGCATTATAATTGTGAATAAAATGAATTTGTTCAACTTAACAAAGCATCAATAGATTTATTAAATTTAATCTTTGTATAACCATTTGATTTGAAAAAGTAAAAAATTAAAACAAACTTACTCCTTTAGCCTAAAAGGTATAATAAATGATAATGTTTTAACAAATAAAGTAACGGTAGCTATACAACATTACTGTTGAAAACACGCGAAATCTTTTTAAAAAATGTGAATGGGTCTTCAGGTTCGTAACATAAAACTATTGTTTTTATTGCATCGTCAACACAAACATAACGTTTACGTTTCTATGTTGGTACATCGTTATGATCACACCTCTCCAATACTATGTGATTATGTATTGTGTGAACTCTTGCTTGACATGTCCTAACTTCACATTTACAAATCCCTTTGCCTGCTGCTCCACTTATGGCTTTTATAAACATAAATTCACCAGAAACTTATGTCCTAAAACCTTTCTGCGAGGTAACGAAAAAGGCCATAGCTGAATAAGCACCACTAATAATGCTTTGTTTGCATGCACACTACGACAAACTTAGCCATGCGATGACCGCTGTCGTTTAAATAAGCATTTGTCATCTGATCACTAAGGTGTGACCGACGCATAACTATTGACTGTTGATGCTAGTTGTATTGTCCATGGAGAGCGGATGTTTTTCCCTTAAGGCATGTCTCTGCCATCATAGCGGGCGGCCACCTTGATACGAAGGTGTGTCTTTATTGTTATTTAATTCCCTATGATCTAATTTCGTCCACCTGACATGGTAGGATTGTCTCATGTTTGTCTCATGTTTGGCAAGCTCACTAACGCTGTCTATCAAGAATTTCTTTGAATCTGCACATACTATATAAGAAATTTTAATTTCAAAATGTTTAGTGCAATATGACAAATTTATGCGGCAAACATTTCTCACAATTATTATATAGGCCTATAAGCAATGTTAAATATAGTAAACAAAACCATGACAGTCGATTAAAAAACTGTTCAGATCAACTAAAATCATCCAATACACCATTACAATTTCGCTGTGAGATATTTTGTCTGAGATATTTTGTCTGAGATCATTTGTCCCTGGTTTCATTTGTCCTGATATATTTTGTCCTGGTATCTTTTGTCCTTGAGATCATTTGTCCTTGGGATCATTTGTCCTGAGATCAATTGTCCGTGAGATATTTTGTCTGAGATCATTTGTCCTGAGATCATTTGTCATGGAACCGTTATATATATATATATATATATATATATATATATATATATATATATATATATATATATATATATATATATATATATATATATATATATATATATGTATGTATATATATATATATATGTATGTATATATATATATATATATATGTATGTATATATATATATATATATATATATATATATATATATATATATATGCATATGTATATGTTTGTCATTAAGGAGATATCAGTCAGGATGGTGAGTCGAAACACTGACTTAAAGTGTACGACCTGTATTTCTACAAGAATGATCTATACAAATCTTACCTATCCGCCATCAAAGAAAGTTTAGCTGTATTTTTCATTATTTCATCCGGCAAATCATCAAGAATCTCTTTCACTTTGGACATCCTGCTTACTTCCATTCACATGTTTGGGATAGTGAGTTAACGCACCTACTTTTCTCGGATTGTTGATTTTCATCTTTATATTGATCAAAATCGGTCAAATGTGACTACAATTTTTATAAAGAAAATCTATAACTTGTAAATTAGAAGATTTCTCTGTCATTGTGATCAAACAGCGTTTTGCATACAAACGCTCTAGTTAAAATAAAATACTTAAAAAAAACTTTTTAAAAAACCACGTTTTTCTTGTGGACTAAAAAGTAGAAAATAACTATTTACATACATTTGATGACAAAAAACGTGGGTCGGGCAGATGGGTCGGGAAATTTGATGGTGAACGTACCCACGTTTTTTGTCATCAAATGTATGTAAATAGTTATTTTCTACTTTTTAGTCCACAAGAAAAACGTGGTTTTTTAAAAAGTTTTTTTTAAGTATTTTATTTTCTACTTTTTAGTCCACAAGAAAAACGTGGTTTTTTAAAAAGTTTTTTTTAAGTATTTTATTTTCTCCTTTTTAGTCCGTTGCTACACATGAAAAACGTGGTTTTTAAAAAAGTTTTTTATATAGTTTATTTTCTACTTTATCTAATGACTTGATTAAGTATGAATTGACTAAGTGTTTATAAATACACGGACTAAAAAAATCTTGAGCGACCAGGATTCGAACCTGGGTTGTCGCGGCCACAACGAGAAGTACTAACCACTATACGATCACGGCCAGCGCGCTCACATCGATTGGGGCCGAAGTAACTGTGTCGATAAGCCTCCAGTCTTGTCGGTATCTTTAGAAATCATGTCCTCAATTTTATGGTCCTTGGGGCGTAATTAAATTAAGCTAATTACGGTCTCTAATTGCTAGTTTTTATGATTGCATCTGAAATTGTTAGGCGAAAGTAGCATGCATGCCAAATTTCAGGTCTATAGAGCAATCAGAAGTGGGCTAATTTTCGATGTCAATTTTAACAACAAACACACGCGAAGCTGAGTTAATAAAAACGTGTTAAAAAAAAAAGGGTTTTAGTATAGATAACATTTACGCAACTATGAATGTCATTCATGTGTTAACTTTTATGAGGGAGTTGAAATGTTAATCGTGTCGTTCTGGGTGTTTACTACTATAATTCGTGGCCGAGGTTATTTCAAATGGTAATTTTTTTTGTTAGCAAAATAAGCAGAAAAAAAAATGGTTGCACTCATTTCACCCCAAATTTCCTATTATAAAACGATAGTAAATTTCATTTTACAAATTAATTTTTGGTTTTTACAATAAATTATTTTTAATCACAAACTTTTTAAATTTTTATTTTATTTTAAACTAACAAACAGGTATGCACACTTTAGTATAAATACCGGTTGTACTCACCTACTCAGACTATGTTTACATTACGCCAATACACCCTAAAATAGCATGGTCCGAATCAGCTCTTGCTTATGTCAATAAAATAAGTAGATTTTAGTGTTTACATAAAAACCCCACAAACAGCAACAGAATTCTGACAAATACAAAGTGGGGCCTACGATCGACAACCTTTAAACAAATACCGCAATTGAAAATCAGTTTGTAACATCGTGTGATGAAGTAGTAACAAAATAATAATATCAAACATTAGTCTTTACTGTTTATTAGATCTCACTTGCAAGAAGCATTTTTAGCCCCTTCAAAAAGCCCCTTTCCCAATATATATATATATATATATATATATATATATATATATATATATATATATATATATATATATATATATATATATATTTGAGCTGTATGCTCACTAGCGATTAGTCACTTAAACACGTAAAACAAATTTCTCCTAAGCCTTGTCTTGATCCTATTGTTTTACTCTAAATATTTGTAAACAGTCCTGTAGCCAGCCATATGTTTCTTGTATTCTCTGTCGAATTCTTCGTTTAAAGCTTCAGTGAACCAGTTTTTCCAGTCACCTACTGCACCTATACGTGAAACAGATTTATTACAGAATTTTTTATTACGTTAAAAATATTGAACCAGGGCTTCTAGATAATTGACAAACATAGAGAACACGAACATGGTTATTTGTTATTTAGTAAATGAGTGTAACTGTATAAATAGTTTATCAGAGGAGCAAACAAAACAGTATTTACTTTACAGCTCCTGCAAAATAGCACGCTTTTAAAAACAATTTTAATGGTACACTTAAATTGTACACTTCAAATTAGATGCTTAACTCTAATATTACGTAATGCAGAATTGCAGGTTATAAATAAAATGGTACTCTATTGTGACACGTTGCACATTTTCGTACAAATGTCATAATGTGCATAATACTGGATCGATATTGATGAGACTTTGTATTCCATGTCATGTCGTCATTTTCCACACGTGGAATAATTTTTTTACAAAAATCTTGAGGTCGTGTCGTAATGTTTACCTTTTCTGTAGAAGCCAATTTTTCTATTTCGAAACCAAGCATTTTCTACTACTGATGCATTGGCTTCTTTAAATGGTTTCATACTGTCGAAGCTACAAGCCTCTGCTATCTTCTCACACAGCTCCTCGCTACATCCAGTCCCCAGAAACTCATTCAGTTTTTTCACGCCAACTTTTTCATCCTGTTTTAGGAATGTGGTTTATGTATTTATCTGTTTAATTAATTCTGCAGATTTTATTTAGAATGACATATATAAGGTCGAGTAGAAATTATTTGTAAAAAAATTAATTAACTTATTTCTAGCAAATTAATCTATTTTTGCCGGATTTTCAAAAAGAAGAAAATGTAGTTAAAAATAGTTTTTTGATAACATTGAGATTACAAGACAAAAAAACGTACTGTTATCATATCCTCGTACACTGATGTGTGGAATGGAACATCCGGATTAGAGTCAATACCGTCTTGCCAGTCCATCAGGTAAGTAAATATATCTCCGTAATAATCTGAAATATATTACAACTTGATAGATATAGTAGCTCAAAATTTTGTACGGATTCAGTTAATTCACATGTGATTTTAGATAGCATTGTCATCTGAACTTGACCCATGTGCCAAATATAAAACGAATCGGTCCGTTGGAAATTGTCAAATTTTCGCTCGCCTGTTTTGATCCATAAAACAAAAGCACGGCAAATAAAACGAGGAATCAAGTTTAATAAAAGCTTGTAAAATTCAGAGGCCCGTTTGACAGCATGCACTTGAGACCCACTATCGGTCTTTTATTTATAATACTTACATTTTATTTCGGTGTTGATTAAACCATCTATAATATAAACTTACATTTACATCTGGATTTAGCGTTGATGTCGTTGGCACAGCTAGGGTAAAGATAATGGTAATGTCTAGTCAAAGGTTCAAGCTAAGGAGAAAAGACATACATAATCACTTTTTCATAGGATTAGTAAAACTCACAACCAACTTCCATGTTCAGATAAACAAAGTGCTCAAATGTTCCCGGATAATGTAGTGGATGCACGGTTTTTTTCATATGGTTGTAGAAAGAGACAAGAACGTCTTTGGGGTTTCTGTCCAAGTAAATTATTTTAATTTTCTTTTTCAAAGCTTTCTTGGGTAAGTATCTGAAATATCAACAAAAATCGGGATATAAAAATAAGGTTACTCCGCTCTTGAAAGAAATATAGATTTTGTAGCTTTCACTAACATACGTTAGGAGCAATGGGAAGATTGTTTGGGACAACCTGCATAATTAACAATGGATACCTCACATGTGAGTAAAGATCTAATAGACAAAAAAACTGCACTAATTATAATAAATACACCTTCTTATCTTCCCTTTTTCGATTAAATTTTTAACGACTAATAAAATCTCTAATTAGATAAACTTAATATTTTTTGCAATGTCATCGGAGACGAATCTATCTGAATCATTTTAGTAGAACACTGCATTCGTAGTGGATTAAAGCTGAGTTCAAAATTTTGACACAAACCCACGACACAAACAAACAAACAAACAAACAAACAGACATTGCAAGCTACATAGAAGCGTATTCAAAATCAATTTAATCAAGGATTCACTAACCTAAACGGCGCGTGAGTTAAGAGAAGCCTGGGGGAGGCTGTGTTGGCAAAGATGTGTATTTGGTGTAAGTCTAAGAAACAAATGTTATTTCTTTTCTCTGTGCTCAACGTGTCCGCTTTGTGCAGGAGCATGTTCACTATCTCTTGGTGCCAATGGAGTCCTATTCGACGACAGCATTGGTAATCAAATATTAAAGTTAACCTCACTTAACCCAATGTAGATATAGATAAGGAATTAAACAAAACAAAACAGTAAAAAGAACAACTACATGGACTAGTGTTTCTTTCATACTTTTTTCTCTTGAAAGGGGGGGGGCAGGGTCACTTGAAATATTTTCGGGGGGAGGGGGGGTTAGTTCTGCGGGTCGGGGGGAGGGACACTGGTAAAGGTATATATTTTCTATATAAATTCTTTTTCGTCCGGTGGGGGGAGGGGGTAGACGTTCTTCGTAGGGTGAAGGGGGGAAAGGGAGGGTGGAGGGGCTCCAGATTCCTGGAAAGAAACTCTGACAAGGACGAGGTGGTGGGGAGGTAGTGAACACGACTGCAGCTCTGAAAGTCTCGGGTTCGGATTTTATGATTCAATCCATCTCTAATAGGTGCTTGATTTTTTCTTTTTATGATGATGATAGAAAGAGGTAAACTGTACAGGTCCCAAATATAATTAACTAGTAATTCAATACTAGAGTCGACCAACCTGCCTTGGGATACGAGCATATCATGACGTCATCAGGGCGTATTTCCATGTCTCTGATATTACGTGTGTGTGTCTTGTAGTCAGTGTCGGCACCAATCCGAAATGGCGGAAACCAGAAGCTGCCGGCATTGCCGAAATAAAACGTGTTGCCGAACCTGAAAGTGTAATGCCATGGTTAAACACAAAAACATTACTAACTTTAGTTAAACGTATTTTAGAACATACTGTGTTACTGTATATTCTCTAAAAAATATCCATGCTACAAATGGAACGCCGTCTTTCGATTTTTATTTTCTGAATTTCTGTTCAACAACGATGTTGTTTTTAGAATAAATTTTTACATACATTTTATCAGTCTTTAAACATATACGGCTCTACATGCTTTAAACTATTTTATTTCATATAATTATACAAACTAGTGATTGTTAGACTTTATATGAATTACAGATTAAACATGAATGATTAAGACTATAGGCTATATAATATATATAAATGAATATATATACGCACTCATATATATATATATATATATATATATATATATATATATATATATATATATATACATATACGTATATCGTTGAGAGATGTCATCTGAACGTAACTTGTACATACGGGACCTGTCTGCAATTGAAGAAAGTTTAGGTACATTTTTCATAATTTCCTCAGGTAATGTATCGACGGCCTCTTGAGTTTTCGACATGTTGCTGTGTTCCCTGTACTGTCGAAGAAAAACAGAGACCGGGTTTTTATGGCTTCTGGTAAACTCCACTTTATATAGAAACTCCTCGTAACACATGCTAGCATATCATATTTTATAAAATGTTGCGTAAGTGATCTCCCATTAACGTTCTGGTATGTGCTAATAAAACAGTACGGGATTTAGAAGGCATTTGGCGATATCGGATTATTGAAATACATACTTTTATGAAAAACCTGCTCATTTGTTGAGAAGTTTTTAAAATGGAGACAATATCTTCTGCTGAAAATATGATAACAAAATACCAAGTTCTTGAGATTTTTGCAAAACGTAAATAAAGTATATCTGCCGTTCATGTGAAATAACCCAAACGTTGATAGAGACCAACGAATACATAATTATACTTATATATGCATGTGCGTCCACCTAACTTAAATGGTACTCAAGATATTGGTATTTCGGTAAACGGAAGAAAAATAAAGGAAGAATTCGGGGTATAGGAGGTAACTCAAAAAATAAAAGTTATCTAAAATGTTATATTTAAAATTATAATTTCGTATACCTAACCGAAACAGTACTTAAAATATCGTGTTCTTGATTAACATCGTAAAAATACCACTTCCGGTTAACAGTAATAGTTAAAATCATCGGTATTTTTAAAACCGGAAGTATAGTATTTTCCGGTTACCGGAAATCGCTTAAAAATTGACAGAAAACTAGATGACAAGCTATATGAATAATTATTTAATTTAAAAAAAAATATATTAAACACCTGTTAATCCTAACCCACATGTCAGCCCTAACCAACGTAGACAGCCAAGCCTTAATTCAACTGCTGCTGCCATGTATTTTGGGTTGCTAATTAATTTTAATTAACTTTTACCACACTTAATTTATAACTTAACTGTAATTATTTATCACATGCACATGTTGCACTGCATAAAAACGTTTCTCAATTAAAAAAAAAACAACAACAGAAATATAGCATCACCAAAAAAAAAGATATTGGTGAATACGTTCATTTTAAAAAGAGCCCGTCACATGTATAGGATGAACCACCAAAATCGATGGCTTAATCGAACCAGGGTCGTCATCCGGCGCCCCGGCACTTGTTTATGGTTTACGCCCATAGTTACCCAGCTCTCACATGAATTCTTTATTTTGGCATCCTGCATTAACATTAACCATTGGCGTCGCTAGGTAGGGTGTCACCCAGTGCGGCACCTTATGTTGTCACCACCCCCCTCTTTTGTCACTGTAAATTTTGCAGTTAGTGTCACCCCTCCCCCCTCGATAAAAGCATTAAAGTGTTCACATTTAATACTAACAATGTTTATACTCAGTAGTTAACACAGCTTGATGCAGCATTGTTTTCTCTATAGTTTACATGTTTACTACATGGTGTCACCCCCTCCCTTGTCGGAATCGTCATTATGTACTTTAAATAATTTTTAACTCTAATTAACCATTCATTGTACTGGCAAAACATATTTATTCTATATATCTTGCAAATATTTTGTCTTAGCGTCATACTCCCCCCCCCCCAAATGGTGTCACCCGGTGCGTTCCGCACCACCCGCTCCGCCTCGCGACGTCTGGGACATTAACAACATCATCATCGAGAAAGAAAAATTACATCCTAAGACTTAACTATTATTTGACTTGTCTGTTGTTGGTACCTTTAGAGATTTTGAATGCAAATGTTGTAGCTTTTAAGAAATTGTACGAATAAAGATTAATATGTATACTAAATAAACGATAATTTTTAAAAAAATCACGTTTCAAAATATATTAATGGAGTTGAAATACTATCAATGTTAAACATTACTAAGATAAATTGCGTTCATTGTCAAAGAATGCGCCCAACTAAAGGTTTTCTTTATAATTTAGCGATAGGGTTTTTGTTTGCGCGAGCGTACAAAAGGGTAGATGATGTAGATGTATTCATATATGTTAAAGTGCATTTGTCTGTGTGCATGCTCTCAACTCACTTCAATAATGAAACCTTTTTACGACGTCGAGTTTCGTTATCTATATATATATATATATATAATTCTCTTCATGGGGACCATGCAGGACAAGACATAGACGCACGCCGTTACTCCCCCGCTCTCCAGGCAAATCGCTACCACCCCCACCAATCTGGTGAGCTTTGGTTCACGACGAATGTTTACATTCGTAGAGTCGGGTTGAATTAGTGACGGTTATTATGGGCAGATAATTTAGTATTTAAACGATTTGAAACAAAGGGGAGGTAAACATTTCTGCTTGATATTTTCTGTCTGTAAATGGCTGCTTTCGCTGGTCGGGGAAGGGAGGGGGGAGTTTCGAATTCACAAATTATGAATTGCTGATAAGCAGAAAATAAAACAACTAGCTAGCGGCGTATGCTACGTCGCGGGTCAGCTCGTATGAATAATTACAAAGCTGCAGATTGTAAAAACACCTGTGATATGTAAGTCCTAATTCCCGATGACAGTCAAGGCTAACTTCTATAGCGGCCGGGGTAAGTATTAGGTTGCTAATGAAGCTTAATTAGTGTTTACCGCATACCTTGTCAATTATCTTGCTGAAATGTAACAAAAACATCTAGGAAGGTGTTTTAAGGTTGGAAACGATTAATGGTATTTTAGTTATCTTCAATTAGGAAAATTACAATCCGATACGAGCGATTTTACGTACGAGTAAGGTAATTCGTACGAGTGTTGAAATTCGTATCTCGGAGCACCTCATTACTTTTTTTAAAGAATTACGGGCTTGCTTAATGAACTCTTCAACGATAACGAATAGAAAATATTCAATTTTCAATGCTATTAACAGCTTGTGATCTTAAATAAAAAGACAAATAATCGGCCCGTATTCGATTGTCACCGGCCTTGACAGATTCGTTTCACAGTTGGCAGGTGAAGTGAGGTTCAAATTCTTCTATAACTTTGACATATGAAGGGATAGTTAGGTCAGTACTCTGTGCAGCAGTGTTAACTTCACTGTACGTAAGACTGGGTGAACCAAGGGACGTTTCAAGACTCTAGCCAGGAAATTTGTTTTACACTATAGCCATAGTTTATGCACCAATGTAAAGAAACATATTTTAAAATTTGTCTATTGTGGCATTTGAATTTTTATTTTCTATTTTTTTACTACTATACCAAATAAACCGGGAGTGATCTCCCCTAAACTTTCTCGAATATTCTTATATAAAATAACAGGGGATGGGAACTCGGGCTATAGACATGATTTTTAATCCATTTTAAATACTTAAAGTTTTACAAATAGAATAAAATCTCGTAGACAAATTAATTGCACACCAAGTGAACGCCAAATAAAAAAGCGCATAATAGTGCGCAATATTATTAGTACTTTTAAAATTTACATTAGTTTTTTGAGAAATCGGAAGTAGCGTAAAGTACTACTTCCAGTCAACGGAAATTACTCAACATTTTACAGAAGGTAGAGAATTAGATCTTTTACTTACATGTGAAATTTCATTTATCTATCTGAAATAGTACTCAAGTTATAGGCTTTTGAAAAATTCAAAGTAGGAAAAGTACCACTTCCGGTTATCGGAAATCGCTCAAAAGTTGATACGGATCTACGATTTTGATAAAATACTTATATATGAAATTTCATCAACCTAGCTGTAACGGTACTCAAGTTATCGTGTTTACACACGGACAGACAGACACACAGACAGACACACAGACATACGGACAAGATTGCAAAATTATGTTTTTCCGTATCAGTGAGGTGTAAAACGTCGAGATTTGTAAAAATCTCGATTTTTTTTTTTTGCACGATTACAAGACTTTCTCTATACTTCGTATATACGAGAAAGTAAAAAGGAGACTGAAAAGTAAATTAAATATAGTTCACACGTCTTTCCCGAAATTAAATGAAATTAAGGTTATAGTGTTATTGTTTCATTATAAAACTCACTACAGTTTTGACACATTGAAAATTTTATTTGTTTTAAATCTGAACCTGGCTAGACATTTTCAACGAACAAGCAATTCTTTCGAGGTTGTAAGAGATGCACAGTTTAAAGACAATTTTCTAAGTGTAGTTTATTTGAAGGCAACACACTGTGCAAGTATTAGAAAATAGTTTTAATATGAAAGTGCAAGTAACTGTGGTGTTGACGGAATTATTATTTTAGAAAACATCAAAAGTAAAATTTGTCTAAATGTGTACAATGTATATTGCTAGTGATATTTAAACATTTGGTTGTTTTCTCTTAACTGTTCGTAAACTATGTTTTTCGTCACAAGTACTACTGTGAACTGCAATTTTCCTAAAAGAACAAAATATTTTAAAGTTTTTGACAAAATCAAGAAGTGAACTTTAGCAGCTTGAAACAAACATTTATTTAAAATACACGTCAAGTCAACATCTTCTTCTGTGTTCATGTATATGGGCAATTATATGGATCTTAGGTTTACATTAATACTGGATAGGGTAAAAGATAGACTGTTGACAAAGAAGTAAATGCGTATACACACACATTTAAATACTTTACACTTCCGAAATAATTTCAATTTTATAATTTTTCAGTATAGCGGGGGCAGAAACTCACGTTGAAAATATAAACGCAGCGATATAGTACACTAACCTACTGTTAAGTCTAAATAACAGTGGCGTAGCGAGGTCGGGTGTCACCCGGTGCGGCACTTAATGGTGTCACCCCCCAGAGGCGTAGCGACCCTTCTCGAGGACAAACTTTCAAATTTTCGATTTGCACCCCCCCCCCCCTCAAACTTTCGATTTGCATCCCCCCCGTCAAGTTTTTCTCTATATATTTTGCTATTTTTTGCCTTGGTGTCACCCCCCTAAATGGTGTCACCCGGTGCGATCCGCACCCCGCCCCCCCCTCTCTACGCCTCTGCTAAATAATATTGTATCTCTAATTTTTATTATAGTTAACTTCATTTTGTTTTATAACCTTAAAGTATTAGGGTCTAAAATAAAAAAAATAAAAAAATGAAACTCCCTGTATTTACCGTCACACTCCGGGGGGGGGGGGGGAGATAATGAATATTGTGTCGACGGTGGGGAGGGGGGGTCAGAAACCGTGACGTTATACTTATTTGTTTAGAAAAATATTTTTGAAACCGAATTTTCGCCGTTATTTTGGTTTTTGAAAAGGCTGTCTTTAGAAAATGCTTATAATAATCAAAGTTGACTGAGCTAAGACCAAGCATATTTTCGAAAGATATCTATTTAAAAAAAAATTAAAACTGCAATTTCTATGAGGATTGTAGGCTGATTGATGTATGACGTCATATTATAAGGGTGTTTGCGTTTTTGTAACGGTGGGGGTGGGGTTTAAATTTGTCCGAATTATAAAAAAATAATCTTACCATTATTTTTTGATGACACTATACAGCTGCTGTCGCTAAAAAAATGCTTCATTGTCTCTGAACATGAATGACACCATAATAGATAGTGAATTGTACTTGACATATATAACTCCACTATGATGATCTATCAAAGGGAAATAACTCCACCATGATGATGTATCAAAGGGAAGTAAGTTAATCTCTCAGCTTAAAGTTGTCTACCACCAGTTTGTTTTATCAAGAGCGATCGTAGATCAGCTGTTTTTCAGTAGTTGCGTTATGTAAATTAGTTTTATAGGTATACTAGCTGCAAGCAGATGGTGGTAGCACGTCCCTTATGTATGCGTCGCATTGGTGTGGATATAGATATTATTTCAGCGCATCGCGCGGCGAGAGGGTGGCGGTAGCACTTCTCTTGTGTATGCGTCGCAATTGCGCACCACATTTGTAATTATTTTTTTTTTGGGAAACAAAATTTCAAATTAAAATCCGTGATTCGCGTACACGGAATCAGAGTCATAATACTTATGAGGCGGTTTCCTTCTACCGCGAACCTCATATAAATAAATTATAAAACCAAACTTAAAAAACAATAGCAATGATTTAGAGCCATTCTTGGTGTGAACATTAAAACAACAAAAAAAACAACAACATTGACTATGACTAACTTAGGTTCTGTACCCATGCCATCTGAGTGATAAGCTGACGTTATATCATCTTGGCTACCTCTCATATTAATTGGCGAAAATATTTCGTATAATTAAGTTTACTCTCCGTAATAATAAAGTAGATTTTATAATAATTTAACCTATTTCAATGTTAATAAACAAAGATTAAAATGAAATATTTAAGAGCTGAAATAGTTCAGGAAAAAACTCAATTATTTATTGTGTAACCTAGAATCAAGGTTCTCCGATCGACCTAACACAGACCTAATAAATGGCTTAATTTTTTATCGCTTGTATTCTTGAATTAGAGAAACAACAAACAGTTATATCATTAAACTATGGCCGAAAGCTAATAATGAATTAAACTCAATTATAATTTGGTTTTTTTTTTACGGCCGAGATATTAAATCTAGAATCGAGTTTCTCCGACACAAAAGAAAACGAGTTGTCAAGTATTATATTATTTTGGATTATTTGTAGGATACAAAAAAGTACAGGATAGTACATGATAGAAGTTCTACCAATATCACAAGCATATATTAACATTGAAAAATGTACAATGGATTTCCGGCCACTAACCAATGCCCTAACCAATGCCGCAACGAAGTACCGTACATCACCAAAGCCCATAACATATCTAGCGGCTTCTCGAGCTATGGATTTTGTTTTGTCGATGGTTAAAAAATACAATTATAAATAAACTTTTAAAGATATAAATAAATGTGAAAGATAATTTTCGAGCCCCCAATTAAGTCCCCACGCCTGCCCCATCCGCCACTTTATATTTTGGATGATCGGTCGAAGAGTTACTTGCCCCCTATTTGGCTATCAAAAGTGGGCAATCAGTCACAGAAGTTATTACAATTTGAAAGTTTGCCTATATTTTACACTACAGTTTGTGTAACGGATTTGAATGTTTGCGCAAGATCGTGGTAGAGTGACTGTAAAATAAAGATAATAGTACTTCAGTTAAAGTATATTTTTATTGATTAATTGTTAATTAATACGTGCAAACTGTCCAAATTTAAATAAAACTAATTTGAAATTCTCTCTCTCTACTCAATTTATTCTTTACCTACTCACTCACACAAAAGCTGCCTGTCATCGTTTTAATCCACGCGCTTGATCAAATATGAATGTGTCGTGTCAACCTCGGAGTCCTATATAACGATGTCCCTTCTGTATCAGCCATTACTACCTGACGCATTGCATATCTCCCGCTTTGTCATCCTCCGTGAACTTTATAGTCGAAGGCAGTAGTCACTGATATTGTTAAGACAAATTTACCTCAACTTTCTACAATGACAGACAGGTAAGCGTGTATTTCACATAGAAGTAATGTAAATTAATTTAATAAGACACGTTTAGCTCAACTTTCTACAATGACAGAGAAGTGAGAAAATGAAAACTGTTGAACCAGTTTTGTTTAACACTGGTATTGTGTCAGTTTTTTTTAAAATTTCTATTTTTTTGCTATCTGTCGTGTTCATTCAACTACCCATGAGTTCGTTTTTTCAAATATTCAATAAATCCTTATGCCTTGAATGTGCGGCATTCTTAGCATGTAATTGCCCAACTGCTTCTGTTTAGAATTTATAAATTGTTTTAAGATTTATTTGTTAGCGAACATGTTTAGCTGCACAACCAATTATTCAATTGATTAAAAATATCTCTAATATTCGCACATTAATTATTGCATTAAATAAAACACACACACACGCACGCACGCATGCACACAAAATCGCGCGCACACATATGTATATATAAATATATATATTTGTATATATATATATATATATATATATATATATATATATATATACATAGATATAGATATAAAGAGAGACAGAGGATACATTTATTAACATATTCTTTATTACTATTCACTTGTAAAACGTAAACAGAAATATTTATGTCGAAACCATTCAAATTACCCCTAAAATATGCAACATTTCAATTCAAAATTCTCTCAGATCTGAGCAGTAAAATAACCTGTTTTGTGTTTATTTTTCTAATAACATTTTATTTAGCCACGTGTCATTAATCTTTAAAACGTAAACTGAAATTTTAATGTCCAAATTAATGAAAACACGACTTACAAGTGTAACATTTCAATTCAAAATTCTCTGATATCTCAGCAGCAAAAAATAAAATAACCCCTCTTTTACTTATTGTTTTTTCTTAAAGCAGGATGTTTTGGGCTGTCATTGCCAATGTATTTTAAAGATAAGTGGTCGACTTTCGCTAACCTTGTTGAATGTTTATATTTAACAGGCAAAACAAAGTCAGCAGGAATTCAAAATCAAAAGAGTCTATTGATACCTTACCCGATGAAATACTGAATGATTTACCTAAACTTGGATCCGTGACAGATAGGTAAGAACTGTGAATATTTTAAACTGAAGTTTTAACTTGATTTGTATTCCATTTAGATAAAGTTTCCTATAAATACTTGTAATTTTAATGTTAATTTTTAAATTGAAAATAATTGCTTTCCGGATTTTTGTAAACTTGTAGAGTATAATAAGTAAATTAATTGTAACGTATCCTCTCTTCAATCTATATTGGTATAGTTGAAAGCCGTTGCGAAAGGTTCCTGTGAAATCAATTTGCGAGTTCCAGGAATAGGTCTTTTTGTGTAGCCTATATGGTGAATGAATGTTAAGTGCTAATAACAAAATTAACATAAATTAATTAACAGTCACAAAAATTATAATTTTAATTATACATTAATTATACAAACAACTACCCTTGATCAGGGTGGATAAATCAGAAAACTTATATTAAAAGTAGGAAAGTAAATGCAACTTACTTCCCTTAAGTTTAATATCTATATATATAATTCTCTTCTGGGATCAGTTAGAAAACAAGCTGCAAGCGCCTCCTTGCAGTCCCCTCTCTTTCTCTCTATCACTATCACTACCATTCCCACCCCACCCCAACATTGTCTGGTGAGCGGTGTTCACTCTAAATTTTTACAAAGCTAAATGTTTACAAATCGTAGAGCCGTACAGCCGGGTTTCTATTAGGGGCAGATAATTTAGTTCGATTTTAAACTTACAAGAGGTAAATAAGAAATAACTAAGAGGAGGCTGCTTTCACGGGGTGGGGGGGGGGGGGTGGGTTGTAGGGTCGGGGTTAGGGGAAAGGGGGGGGGGTTAGTGTTTTAAAGCAAATATTTTCAGTGGCAGCATTAGTACTGTCGAATTTACAAATTTTGAATTACTGAAAAGTAGAAAATAAAACAACTAAATAGCGGCGTATGATACGCTGCGGGTCGGCTCGTAATTTTATAATAAGCTTATAAAATGTACATGGTAAGCTGAACTTTAGTTATGTAGGTAAAACAAATATATTTTAAATAATTTTTTTCTTATAAACTAGTTGTACATTTTACTAATTATTATCTTAATAATATTGGTTTAGAATACATTAATAAATGGTTGAAATTTAGGGCGGTATTTGAACTAGGGGAGAAAGGGGGTTAGAGTGAAGGTTTCATTATTTTGTATTTCAAAAAGTGTTGTTTTATTTTAATCTTAGCAGTTAAACTAGAAGTAGTTAAAATCCAGAATAAAAGTAATATAGGACAAAGTTTAAAATTGTGTTGGATTTATTTGCATTAATTTCAATTTGTCCTGTTAGCATTTAACTATTTTGAGAATGCGTTTTTTATGTAAAGATTCGATTCGATTTTATCTTGAATATCTGAAAATATTAAGAATTTTGATTCTGGTAGATTGAAGCAAGGCTTTATTAATATGTTGGATAAATCTCAAGCTTTGATTGAGTTTACGTAACAGTAGCTTATATAATTTTTCATTTTGAATGTTAAGAGTTAAATGGTGTCACCCGATGCGGTCCGCCCCCCCCCCCCACACACCCTCACCTTGCGACGCCTCTGGTTAGAAACAATTGTTTCTTCTTCCTTCTCTAATGAGCCAGAACTTACAAGAGTTTCTCGAGAGTGTGTTTAGAGAGATTGAGAAAAAAAAGGAAATAAGAGAGAGAGAGAGAGAGATAAAGAAACTAGACAGAGGAAAATAGTTAACTAAAAGCTTGTAAAAGGGCTTCGTGATATTCATAGTAGAGATAATTTCTTTATGTAACCAGTGCAAATTACTTTTGTATTTAATTGGTTCAACTAAATTCGGTATTTTATCACTTCATAAAAAATTATCAGGTTCGGCAACACGTTTTATTTCGGCAATGCCGGCGGCTACTGGCAACCACCGTTTCGGATTGGTGCCGACACCGACTACATGACACACGCACGGAATATCAGAGACATGGAGATACGTCCTGATGATGTCATGATATGCTCGTATCCCAAGACAGGTTGGTCGACTGTAATATTTTAAAACTCTGTTTTCTTATAGACAATTAGTGGGTTTACTTTTATTAACTGTCCTGTCTTTAAAAAGGTCTACATTGGCACCGAGAGATTGTGACCATGCTAATGAATAAAACATCCTCACTGAGCACGAAAATTGACGACACCATTTGTGCGTTAGAGAAAAAACCGATACACGTTTTCTCCAGCAGAGAATCGCCAAGGCTGATTAACACTCATGTGCCGTTTAGGTTCGTCAAACTTTGTCTAAGACGTTTTGCTTTTATTGGACTATAACATTTTATTTTTTTTGGAAGAATAATTTTGCAAAGTTGATAATTGTATAACTTGCCAAATTTGTGGTTTGAGAGTGGTAATTTTTACATGTTGCCATTATTTACGTGACTCGTTTTCTAGATCACGGTAAGGTTAACCCTTTAGTAACATTCACGATATCCATTGTTAAGCCTGTAGGTTGTACATACTTAATTGTTAGTGAAAGCCAAAGTATAAGACATTTAAGTATATATTTTCTTTCATAATCTGCTGACTTTAAAATATTATTTTAGCCCCCAAAAAAGGTATTCGATATAAAAGATAATGTTTATACATTTTTTTTAGTTTATATTATAATTTTCGTTGTTGTTTCAGATACTTACCCAAGCAAGCTTTGAAAAAAAAAATTAAAATAATTTTCTTGGACAGAAACCCCAAAGATGTTCTTGTCTCGGCCTACAGTCATTTGAAAAAAACCGTTCATCCCTTCAATTATCCGGGAACATTTGAGCAATTCGTTTACCTTAATCTGGAAGTTGGTCGTGAGTTATTTTTCATAACCAACGGAATATTCTTTATATATATATATATATATATATATATATATATATATATATATATATATATATATATATATATATATATATATATCTTACTTCCTTAGCGTATACCCTCACCTGAAGACAACTACTGACCCTAACTAGCCATGCCAAGGAACCCAATGCTAAATAAATAAGCTTACATTTTGTTCCATTATTAGGCCCTGCAGTATTGTTTTATAAAAAAGAAACAAGCAGCTGGTTTTTTAAAAAAGATTCTCTGTTAAATGGCTAAAAAATGCTGGCGGACTTCTGTTAGCTAACAGTGTATTTCAAATAGTTAGGGTCCAATTTATATCCGAGGCGGTCGGCTCAAACTCCCCGTTCCGCAAATGTAAGCCGCATTTACACATATAACGTGATCATTTAATTTGTATTTCTAATGTTTATAGATGTTATATTCATGCTTAGTAATTTTTATTTATGTCATTATTTATGTATTTGCAAATTTTCTAATTTATTAAGAGAGAAGCCCTAGTTTTGATGTTTTAAAAGAAAACATTTTTGAAAATTTCCCATTATTGATCTAAGCTGTAAATGTTTGCCAACTGTTGTCACCTATTTGGCTAGAAATTTGAGGTAGAGAAAAATTTGGCTCTGCTTTTCTATTTTTCACCCTTTTGTCTCCAGGTAGCAACTGAGCTATTTTTATCTTTACAAATCTAACTAACGGCTACCACAAAACAGACTGATCCATGTTGTAATGTATTTCAGATATGTTTGGCCATTTGTTCACATATCTGATGGATAGGCAGGAAGGTATTGATGCTAACCCGGATGTTCCATTCTTCACATCAGTGTACGAGGATATGATATTAGTAAGTTTATTCTTGTCAAATAAATTCACTCTTGACATAAAATCTGATTAGAAACCACATTTTGCTGCTTTTTAAAAACACGGTCAATGTGAGTTTAATACTCAGGATGTAGATTGATTAAACGTAACTTCTACTGAAACTTATACAACATTCTAAGTAAAATATTAATATTTTAAACAAAAAGCTACATTTCTAAAACAGGATACAAAAGCTGGCGTGAAAAAATTGAATGAGTTTCTGGGGACTGGATGTAGCGAGGAGCTGTGTGAGAAGATAGCTGAGGCCTGTAGCTTCGACAGTATGAAACCTTTCAAAGAAGCCAATGCAACAATAAATGAAAGTGTTTGGTTTCGAAATAGAGAAATTGGCTACTACAGAAAAGGTAAGTTTTACATTGATAGTATTAAAAAAATTTAAAAGTAATATGAAACTGGTTTAACAAGTCTGAATTTAATTTAGTTATAATAAATCGTTTTTCTTTGCAAGAGCTGGAATCAGTGGCGGAACTAGAAAAAATGGGCCACCCCGCAAAAAAAATTGTTGGGCCCCCGTATATATATATATATATATATATATATATATATATATATATATATATATATATATATATATATATATATATATATATATATATATATATATATATATATATACAAACACAATACGAACATAGTATACTCATTTCTGGCCTGATCGGGTTTGGAAAAGAAAAATGCAATTAAATCAAATCAAATCACAACAGCATGTCAGGTGTATGAGTGCATTGATCTGTTTTGAAAATCTGTTTTTATTTATGTTTGCCTTAATACGTCTAATCAGCAAGTCGGTCAAAAGTATATAAATCATGAAGCTTTAAATAAGTAATGGTGTCTCGTGTTATGTTTATATTTATGATTTTTCGTATTTATATTATTCCTTTTAACTATATTTCATTTTTATACTATACCCTTCTTTAGTACTTATTTAAAAAAAAATAATTAAGATAAGTAATTGCTGTTTAATTTGATTATTACAAATCTATTAAAAGGAGCTTATGAGCACCACTATTTGAGTATTTGAAAAAGGGAAATAATTTATGGAAGTGATTTGAACGTTTGCCTATCTTTCACACTACAGCTCATGTGTATATTTTTTAATATTTTTTTTTACGCAACAGCATGTCTTAGCTACTATATAACATCACTACAGTATTAGATCTGTTATGTGTTTGTTATTTTACAAAACCACTATCAAGGTACCAGTGACGAAACTAATATATATATATATATATATATATATATATATATATATATATATATATATATATATATATATATATATATATATATATATATATATTATATATATTATATATATTTATTTATTTATTTATTTATTTATTTATTTATTTATTTATTTATTTATTTATTTATTTATTTATTTATTTATTTATTTATTTATTTATTTATTTATTTATTTATTTATTTATTTATTTATTTATTTAGTTTGTTTGTTTGTTTGTTTGTTTGTTTGTTTGTTTGTTTGTTTGTTTGTTTGTTTGTTTGTTTGTTTGTTTGTTTGTTTGTTTGTTTGTTTGTTTGTTTGTTTGTTTGTTTGTTTGTTTATTTATTTATTTATTTATTTATTTATTTATTTATTTATTTATTTATTTATTTATTTATATATATATATAACACGCTATCGTTTGTGTATTTTTTTCAGACGTTTGCCTTGTTTTCTAGAACAGTGGTTATTAATCGTAAACAATGTCGGCACTTTATTTCTTGGATATTAGTTGTTGGAGCGTTAGCTTGTCTACACTACCACCGATATGAGCCAGCTTAGTTGTTGAGGCGCTATCTATTCGCTTCTTGTAAGGCTAAGAGCGGGAGGGGAGGTCTGAGAAAGGAACTTAAAAGGGACAACAAAGCACCGATGTGCTTTTATCCATCAGTACCAAATTTGGAATGGTCTCAAAAATCCGACTTGATATCTAGCGGCCTCTCGCGCAATTGATGTTTTTTACAAAAGCATTTTGCCGACAACAGCGTGTGTTTGATTGTAGGAAAAAGAATATACAAGAGCGTGGGATGGTTTCTATAGAATAAAGATACTCCAACCGCAGCTACAGTATTCTTTTTTCAAAACAACCATTAGGTCAAAAATGCAAGAAAATTAACTATTAAAAAAATGATTATGGGCGGCTGTGGGCCCCCTAAGCGGCGTGGGCCACCCCGCATTGCGGGGTCTGGCGGCACTGTAGTTCCGCCCCTGGCTGGAATAATGTATTAGAGCAAAGTTTAACTCCTCTGATAGACTAATTATGTAAGATAACATGGAGAATAGAATATTTGAGAGTTAGCTTTGCTATCTACATCTGATGAAGTTTGTCAAGCTAATAAATATAGTTATTATCATTTTCTAAAAAAAAATCACCTTTTTCGTGCTCTATCTGTTCGGCTTTGTTTAAAGTGTTGTTTCTTTTACATTTGTAGACTATAAATCCATTCCTCAATATTTTGTATTATAACTAGGTGCTGTTGGCGACTGGAAAAACTGGTTCACTGAAGATTTAAACGAAGAATTCGATAGAGAATACAAGAAACACATGGCTGACTACAGGACTGTTTACAAATATAGTTTAGAGTAAAAATGAATCAAGATGGGCAAATGTAGAAACATTTGTCTACCATTTTTTGCGACCAATGTTAGGCTGATCCAGTATATTTTATTTCCTTATTTATTTTTTTAATTATATTTTTTTGCATTCTGTGAGTTTATATTCAACAATATAAGAATAAGGATGGGTATATAATTATTATGAGTAGCATTTTAGCATTTATCAATTATGAAGTATAGCATATATATATATATATATATATATATATATATATATATATATATATATATATATATATATATATATATATATATATATATATATATATATATATATATATATATATATATATATATTTATATATATATATATATATATATATATATATATATATATATATATATATATATATATATATATATATATATAGGAGGCCGTGTGTGTATGTAAATTAATGTGTTCATTGCAAGGGGACGCTACGCCTATTTGTAGGAGAGCACCCAGCATTAGCACTTTTTGATCTGAGTCCTCTCCACAGCAGTCCCAGCCATTACACTTAAGATCTGGGTGGACACAGTTTTATGTATTTTTACATTGGAACTCTCTTGTGTTGAAAGGGCTCTGAAGTGAGCATTACAGTATTAAAGAAATGTGAATCTTCAAATGTTAAATACATTAAAGCGCATTGTTTTGAGACCACAACAAAAACATTACTCAGTGGTAGTTGTATTCGGTTTGATTTTATCATTGCTATTTTTTAAATGCAAAAGTATTGAGATTTAATGTAGTTAAACTGAATATGTTGACAGATTGAGAATGTACTTATCAATTCACCAATTTATACAGGCTCTTTGCCTTTACAATAAGCGTGAAACGATTAAGGAATGAGAAATTCTTTAAAAAAATATTTAAAAAAAAAAATTCTATGCATACAATTTTTTTGTTCTTGTTTTGAAAATAAAAAGACATTTTTTCCCCCTATTCTGTTAAAATCAAATCAATTTATGTTGTATCTTAATCACCCCCTTCACCAAACCTAAAGTCGACCAATTGTAGTGTGTTTATTTCTCGATTAGCTAACCTCACGACGTACCAAGAGAAACACTCGATGCAATGACGCTCTAATTTTTAAGTATCACATGTTCATATACATTTGCTGTTTTTTGTGTGCAATACCAGATGATGCAATCCTCAACAAATATTCTTTGTTCGTGCTACACCATCAGCAATCCTCTGCATTTGGTTCAAATTTTCAATTAGAAAATATTATTTATAGCAAGCTTTTATGTAATAGCGCACTAAAATAAATTTATTTTCTCCTTTGTGGACACTGTTACATAAAAGTTTGTTATTAAAACGTTTTTAATGCAATTTTAAAAACCCAGATATAGCTTACTTATAATCAACTCATTATTCTTATCATGAATATAAAATGCGTTTGTGATCAAAGCCCGCTGTGGTCAAAGTTACGCGTATCAAAGCTTCCTATAATTTAACTGTCAAATACAATATATCAAATAAGACAAACTAAATAAGACAGTTATAGGTGAAACAATTATTTTTAATTATCAGGCAGTTTTCAAAGGTTGTGTCACAAACATCCGTGCAATAGAAAGTGCAGCGTCGCCTTGTTGTGAGGACTATTTATTCTTTACATAGATATATATGTAAATATAACTAACTGTAGGAGCCAAATGATGTGTATAACGCAATGCTTCGCCACACCTCTGTTTTCATCTGAGTTATCTCCACAATCATTCCAGCCATCAAATTTTAGATCCTCGCTGACGCAGCGCTTCATTTGTTTACATTGGAACTCTCTTTCGTGACAAGTCCCTAAAGTAATAATTAAAACTATTCATCAAATATAAACGAACACTTGTAATACGTATCTATATATATAATTCTCTTTCTGGAGACGCTAGAAAACACCAAGCTGTAAGCGCGCTCCCTACCACCCCACCCCTACATGGTTTGGTGAGCTGTGGTTCACGCTAAATGTTTACAATCTAAGAGCCGGGTTTAGTGACGGCTATTAGGGGCAGATAATTTAGTTTGAAACGATTTTAAACTAAGAGGAGGCTGCTTTCACGGGGTGGGGGTGTAGGGTAGGGGTTGGGGGAAAGGAAGGTGGGGGCAGTGTTTCTTCCAGACTTTTTTCTCCGGGGGGGGGGCACTTGAAATCTTCGGGGGGGGGGGGGCGGTAAACTTTCTTCGGGGGGGCGGGGGGCGGACACTGTTAAAAGTATATATTTTCTATATAAATTATATAAATTTCATTTCGT